CCCCAAAACCCCAAAACCCCAAAACCCCAAAACCCCGTCTATCCAAAACCGGTTGAATATTAATTTTCTACATCAATCAGGTTACCCGATACAATGTTTAAGGTAATAACAGTCCTCAGCTTGTCTTTCCTTATAATGGGAGTGCAAGGCTTCGCAGGCTTTAAGTTCAGTGATGACCCAGGAATAGTCGTGGCTATTAGGGAAACAGTCGTTGAGAAACTCATGCAGACTTACTTTGATCAGGCTGCAGAAGCGATAAAGGAATTCGAAATTGATGATACTATTAAGGAGAAGAACATGAAGATTCATGGTATCAGAGGTGAACTCCAGAATTTGGATAAGAATAATATCGAAATTAAGTTCAACCCAAAAATCAACGGGCTCTCTGTTGTAGGTAAGCAATTATATCAATATTCTGTTTCTTGCTAAAAGGAGGTTTTAAATGAATTTTTAGTCAAAGATCCAAAAATCATTCTTCGTTCAAAAGTGGAGGTGAAGAAGGTAATCAAGATCAAGGGAAATATTAAGGCGACAGGCAAGTTCAAATCGATTAGCATGGATATCTCCTTCATCAGAGGGTTAACAGACTGGCAATATATTCCAAATGTTGAGGTCAAGAATATGGATGTAAATATGAATGACAAAGACTTTAAAGTCGTCTTCGAATGTCACAAATGTCTAAAAGACGTGAAGAACTTTGTTATAAAGCTTTTCAGAAAGGAAATCACTAAGAAGGTTCGCAGTTCTATAAAGAACTTCGGGAATAAGAAGGCTTCTCCAATAATCAACAAGAAATTACAGGAACTGTATCCAACAGAGTTGAATGTTTACCAAAACATTGGGTTTTCACTAGCTCTAACAGAAGCCATTAGAGTTTTTGATGATCATCTCGAGATTCCTTTTGACGGCACTTTCTTCCCATTCAGCTCTGGATATAGCAGACCAGGCTCAGTTGCACCCATGCCAAGCTATAATGAAGAAAATTCAGGAGATGTAATGGTCTTTGTGAACCAATACGTTATTGATTCATTAACTGAGACTATAAACTTGGAAGAACATAACTTTCCGCTAAATCTGTTATTCTTGGAGTTACGACTTTTAGCAGGTCCTGAACATGGTTCTACTGATATCACCCTGACAGATGGATCCTTGGACATCAGATCTTCTGTTAATATTCAAACAAACCTTGGAGTGTCAGCTAGATTTGGACTAGCAGGAAGCCTGGACATTGACCTAGTAAGAGGTAGAGGCTCCAAAATTGCAAGTCTTATTACAGATTTGCAGTCAGTTAGAATAGAAGCTCTCCAAGTTGAAATTTTGAGACAACCAATTAATCTCGGGATTTTTAATCCAATGCTAAACTTGATTGTGAGAGCAATTCTTTGGTTTGTCACTGTACCTGATATTAACATTCCCAAGCATGAGATGTTCCCTCTTACTGTTAAGGACAGCAAGTTTGAATTCAATACCGGGTATATAGAAACAGGCATACTCTTCGGTGGAATCTAATCACTTCTGATAGCTATCATTTCAATATTTTTGATTACAAAAGGGGTTTTGGGGTTTTGGGGTTTTGGGGTTTTGGGGTTTTGGGG